AGAAAGAAAGAAAGAAAGAAAGAAAGAAAGAAAGAAAGAAAGAAAGAAAGAAAGAAAGAGAAGCAACCAGGTGTGGTGGCATACCCCTGTAAGCCTAGCACTCAGGAGGCTGAGGCAGTAGAATTAACATGAGTTTGAGGCCAGCCTGAGCTACATAGTGACTTCAGGGCCAGTCTGCACTACACAGTGAGGCCCTGTCGATAAATAGATAAATTAGTAAAATAAGACCCTCAGGAGATGGGTGCTAAGCTCAGTCACAGTGGATTTGCCTAGGATGCATAAGCCTCCACACTCCAACAGCAGCACTGAAAAAGGAAGGAAGAGAAGGAGGGAGGAAAGAAAGACCCCTCATCCCAAAATATGGAGGTGAAATGTGAGGAGATTGGAGAAAGAAAGGCCAATTGGGAAGTCATTTGAGGGCCCCTAGTTACTACCCCCCAAGGTAAGAAAATGTCTCAATTCATAAGGCAATACATACTCACAGATGAGGCTGTGGCTAGAGGCAGCAGAGCACCGTCTACCTCAGCACACTTCTCAGCCATCACATACATGGTGAAAGGGCAGGAGGAGTGCTTCTAGGAGGAAGAACATGAGGAACATCTTGTGAGTCTTAGGCTGTCATAGCAGCCGAGTGTACCCAAACTTCTATATGTCCCACTATTGGGATGCAGCAGGAAGTAAATCTGCTCCCTCTGTCCATTCCATCCCCTTTGTTGATCCTTGTGCTTTGACTGAGAAACATCCATTAACTGGAAGTACAAGCATCCTTAGTGTCTCTTCCTAATAATGACTCAGAAATAACATTTCATCCCAGCCCCTTTTCACTGGAGAACAGAACTGTTGCTCCTCAGGGTACAGACTGTGCCTTTTCCCACCAAAGATATTTCATGAATCCTGTAGAAATGTCACTGACTTGCTGCCTGTGGGACAGAATCCAAATGCTCTATTGTGGCATGCAGTATAATCGGATGCATCATAACCATGAAGCAATTCTAGATAGCTTCTGCTCCAGCAGGAGATTGTGTGGTATGAACACAGCACCATAAGAGTTCTAAGATAAGAAAAGACTTCAAAGGGGAATGGTAATGCTGATTCACGAACTCCAAGATAAACTGATGCTAGGGCCAGCCAAATAGCTTAGCAGATTAAAATGCCTGCAATCAGGCGCAGGGTCCAAGTTGCATTCCCAGGCCTGTCATGCTGGTCCCACCCCCAGAACACGCTGAGAGGGCAATTGAGACTGGGTGTGGTGGTGAACGCTTGTAATCCCAGCTCTTGGAAGACTGTAAACAGGCGGATCACTACAAGTCTGATCTAGTAGTGAGACCCTGGACACCCTGTAGACCCTTCCCTAAAATACAGGAAAAAATGATAAACTGATGCTCTGATGGAGAAAGGAGGGTTAGAGATAGATCCTGGGGCCTAAAGAAGGTGGGGAGGTCACACCAGAAGTGCCAATTCGGGAGAGACAGAGACAGGCTGCACACTGTGTCATTTCACAGAAACAGAAGCCAGAAAAAAAATTTCCAAAGGAAAAAGTAACCCCTATTGGCAATAGAACAAGCTGAGAGATGTGGCAAATAGCTCAGGTGGCAAACTATGGCCCATGAGCCAAATCTGATGCAGGTGCCTATTTCTGTAAATAAAGTTTTATTAGAACACAGTCACACTCATTTGTTTAGTCTGTATATTCTCCATGGCTGTTTTTATAGTATGATGGCAATCTCACTGCAACACAGCCTTTATGACCATAAGACCTGAAATATTTACTATTTAGTCTTTAATAGAAAAAATGTGTCAGTCCCTGATTTATATAAACCATAAAATAGTTATCTCAAACCATGTGATCAGCTCCTGGGAAATAACAAAGAAAACTAGCGCAACTTCAGCTAATAGCTGAGCTTATGTGGTTTTAGAATTGTTCCCAACATGATAACGATGAAGGGTACTCTACTTGGTGATTAAGTTCTATCAAGTCTTCATGATGACCTTTTGTACTGGACAGGCCACTACCATAGCGGAACCCAGTACCTTCACACTGGACTGCATTCCTAGCCCCACACCTCTTTTTGAGATAGGATCTCTCTGAATTTCCCAGCTAAGTGGCAACTATCTGCCTCAGCCTCGCAGACTACTAGAATAACAGGCATGCACCGCTGCTGCAATTGAAACTTCCCACTTATTTATTTATTTTGGGTTTTTGAGACTCAGTCTTGCTCTATAGTCCAGGTTAGCCTTAAAGTCACTATGTAGCCCCGGCTGGCCTTGAACTTGAGGCCATCCTCTAGTCTCAGCCTCATGAGTGCTGAGAATTACTGGCATGCAACACCACACTGGGTTCTGAGAACTCCCTTTTATAACAAAGCCCCTCCTTGAGCTCATTGATGAGGTTAGCCCCTTGATGATCTAATTAACTGCTACTTAGACCAGGGGACATTTCAAAGTGAATAGTTGCCGAAACAGCTGACTGTGAGATTAATTGGTTTGAGTTTAAGGTTAGAAACAAGCCAACTAAGTATGCTGCTATTTCCCAAAGTGGAGTATAAGCATCAAAATACCTGTGTAGCTTGAGGTGAGGGTGCTTGCCTAGCAGCCATGAGGCCCTGGGTATGATTGCCCAGCACCACAAAAAAAAAAAAAAACTTGTTACTATGGAATGTTCTATTAAAATAGAACATTCGAACACTTGGGAGACTGAGGCAGGAAGATTACCATGAGGTCAAGACCAGCCTGGGCTACAGAGAGTTCAAGGCTGGTCTGATCTACAAGATGTATGTACAGGGAGCTGTTCTGAGTGTTACAGGATCAAGTGGAGATGAGCAGGAGATAATCCTTCTGCCCAAGGTGCTTCGAATCAAGAATGTTCCATGCTGATTCTCAGCCTGGCTTGGACTCCCAGCTTCACCCTGACCCACACAGCACTCAGTTTTGACAAACGCTACAGTCACAGAATGTTATATAACTCTAGTCTTTTTCGGGACAGATTGTAGAGACTCATGAGGGTGAACTTTAACTGGGATCGTAAACTTATATAAATAAAAAAATAGAGATATAAGTTTTAAAGAAGAAACAAAATTACCTCATTAGAAAGAGTAGAGAACTATGTTATTGAAAGTAAAATAGGAGCCAGGTGTGGTGCTGCACATCTGTAATCCCAGCACTCAGGAGGCTGAGACAGGAGGGTTGTTACAAATTTGAGCCCAGCTTGGGCTACATAGCGAGTTGATGGCCAGCCTAAACTGCATAGCAGCAGTGTCTCAAAAAGACAAACAAGAAGAAGAAGTAAGAGGAGAAGGAGAAGTAAAAAAGAAAAGATATGGGGGCTGGTGAGATGGCTCTGTGGTCTAAAGCACCTACTTAGAACAAGCTAAGCTAAGCAAAACACAGGGACCACGGTTCAATCCCCCAGCACCACATGCCAGCCAGCCTCTCCCCCTGGTGGGCTGAACTGGCCACACACACACACAAAATAAATAAATAAATAAATAAATAAATAAATAAATAAATAAATAAATAATTTTTTAAAAAAAAAAGAAAACATAGGAAGTGGAGCCGGTATTCGGTGTTTGTTTTTGGCCCCTTTCATCGTATAATAAGAAAAAACTTTCCCCTCTGAAATTTGTTACAACTTGATTGGCTGTTTCAGGCTCTGAGACCCCTGATGTGGCCACTGACCCTCTCTGTTGTCTATGTGCAAGTTCTTGGGTAAGCTTATTTGGCCTGCTTTGTCCTGCCAAGGTGCGATCTCTAAGATTTGTCATAGGCCTTAACATACAAGGCTGAGTTGACAGTTAGAAAACGGATATGTATATACTTTAGTGCAGTATCACGGTGAGAGAAGGGCGTGTGTGTGTGTGTGCAGGTGTGGGTATATATTGTATATACTAAGTAAGGTGTTTTTTTAAAAAAAATTTTAGCCCCCTCCCCACTTCGTCTCATCTTTACTTAACAGGAGCTAGAAAAAACAAAATGGGGCACCATGCAGCCTCAGCCTCCTTGGTTGTCTAAATTGTTCTGTCTAACAAAGGTTTAACTTTTTGCAGTCTAGATTTTCTAAAAACTTCACTGAAGCCCTGTCTCTTACACTATCTGCCCTGCTTTCCCTATAAGGTGATTCATTAAATGTATGAGTAAAGGTTGATTTCATTTTGATATGTGGGTAAAAATTTACTACAACTTCCCCCCCTTAAAGAAATTCACAAATCAGAAAATACTTGGTGGGCCAGGATGTCGTTCAGTGGCACACTGCCTGCCTGGCAAGTGTAAGATCCTGAGTTCAATTACCAATACAAAAAAAGGAAAGCAGTTTGTCAGAGACAGGAGTGGTGGTGCAGGCTTGTAATCCCAGCATGCTGGAGGCTGAGGCAGGAGGATGGCAGTGAGTTTGAGTTCAGCCTGGGCTACACAGTAAGTTCAAGGCCAGCCCGGATTACATTAGAGAGACCCTATTTCAAAAACAAAACAATACAATACTTTGTCAGGACTGTCTCAGTTTTGGGTTTGGAAAAAGAACTATGAGAATTATCTTTTTTCTGTCACCATCCTCCTAAAAATGCATGTGCCTCAAGCCTTCTCACATCTGTGTGTGTCTTCCCATCTCTTTTGCAGCCTCTAGTTCTGTTGATGGAGTGGCCTGAAGCCACCAACTTTGCCTGCCTGATTGCTGGGTACTGCCGCCTCCTGCTGGATTCCAGGAAGATGGTCTTCTCCAGGCCTGCCAGCCAACCCCTTCCACCTCCAATGATCAAGGCAGGTAGGGCTCAGCCTCGGTTTCTGCTGTGCCGGCAACTCTTTGGACCCTGGACACTTGGAGGGAGGAGCTCCACTGCCTTAGCGCTCACTGTCTGCTGCCAGTGCCTGACTTAGCAGTAGCTAACACAGTAGCATGCATCCTCCCAGAACATCCCAGTGAGGACAGCCAGCCTTCACACGTGCCTGTTCCGAAAAGGAGGCCTATGAGAACACATCACAATTGAGTTCATGAATGAGTGTGAGAGAAAAATAGCAAACATGGGATTGAGCCAGTAAAACAATTACACTGGCCAGGCATCATGGCATGTGCCTATAATCCCAACTTCTTGGGAAGCTGAGACAGCAGGATCTCACACTCATGATGAGCCTTGGGAACATAGTGAGACCTCCATGTTCAAGAAAAACAATTACATTGGATCTAAGACAACTCTTTAAAGGTTCAGAGATCTAGCAGGGAAGATGCCTTCTTGTTCTGGCCTAATTGAAGCAGATCTTCAGATCAAATCATTCTTTTTGCCCATCATAATGGTGATTGATATGACTGCCTGAAGTATGAGGGCATCAAAGGCTGAGGGAAGAAAGACTGGACAGATCCAGAAGAAGGTTTAGGATAGGGTAGGATGCTCATACAGAACAGGTGCAGCCCTCATACAGAAGGCCTTCCAGTTAGGCAACTCAGTGGAGCCACTTTTGAGCAGCTGTTCTGCACATGAGCAAGGGAGCAAGGTGGTGTAAGTCACCAGGTGAACAGCTGCAAAGTGACAGCCAGGTGACCAAATGCTGCGAAAGCCAACATTGGCATTCTCAGTGTCACCCGTGGTCCTCCTCTGTCTGATCACCCCCAAGTAGATTATGTATAACATTTACTAAGAAGGATGGAGAGGAGAGAGTGAAAAGGGGAAAAGGGAAGGCAAAAGGAAGAATGCAGAATCGAGCCAAGGGCCACACATGACAGACGGTGAGAGATGTCTGGGTGGATGCGCTTTCCAAAGGCACTAAGGGTGGCTCCGTAGCCCCAATTTGTCTGATCTGCTTTTGCCATCGCATTAGCACCCTTGGCTGGTGCTTGCTCCAAGTATTTCCCTTGCTCTGGGGAGAGTGACACCAAGAGAAGGACATGAGTTTCACGTGTCCCTGCATCCTAAGCATCTTTGCTTTTCTGTTGCTTTTCCAAAGGCAGACCTGCTTCATTGGATTCTCTTAAAGCTATGCAAACTTAGAGCTCCCTTCCCTGATTCGGGATAGACCCCTTGTACCTGCAGAGTGACAGAGGCTCATCCTGTCCCCTGGCACAGGGTCTCTGTGTTGTTCATGCAGGGGCCAAATGAACCACTGTGGTGTCTCCACTGTTTGTAGATCTCCACTTTCTTAGGGAGGGAACAGTCAGCTCTAAGGTAGAGCCATACGGAAGTGCTTAGCTCTTCTTTCCCTGACTCTGCTGGTGAGGAAAAATTGAATTTGGTATCCCCTTCTAGGGGCTTGGTGAGAAGTTTGGGCCATTTCTTATTTTTTCTTTATTTTTAATTATTTATTTATTTATTTATTTTTAATTTTGTGTGTGTGTGTGTGTGTGTGTGTGTGTGTGTGTGTGGCCAGCTCAGCCCACCAGGGGGCGGGGCTGGCTGGCATGTGGTGCTGGGGGATTGAACTGTGGTCCCTGTGCTTTGCTAAGCTTATTCTAAGTAGGTGCTTTAGACCACTGAGCCAACCCACCAGCCCTAATTATTTATTTTTAAAAAATGTATTTGGTACAGGGTCTCGCTACACAGCTTGGACTCATAGTGGTCCTCTTGCTTTCAGCCTCCCCAGAGCTGGGATTATAGACATGTGCCACCACACCCAGACTCAGTGGCCAACTCAGTGCACTCAGGGGCAGGGCTGGCACTGCATGCGGTACAGGGGATTGAACCCAGGTCCCTGCGCTTTCTTAAACAGGTGCTTAATCTGCTGAGCTATCTCACTGGACCCTCTTTTTTAAAATTCATTATGTTTGTTGGTACATTTTAGGTATCCATAATGATCGCATGCACCATAGGGAATTTGTATCTGCACATGCTACAGCTTGATTCTTTTTCCCCATTCCGCTATCCTCCCTTCAACCTCTGTTCCCCTCCTTATTTACAAAAGCTTTGTTTCCACTTTTGCTCATCATATTTTTCTTTCCCTTTTTTCCTCCTCCTCTTTCCCTAGTTCCCCTTACCATTTGAACATGTTCTTCCTCTTTCACAATGCCTATTATGCTGTGTTCCTTATTTATACTTTTGATTTCTCACACCAGAGAAACAACGCAGTATGTACATATGTGCGTCTCATTCTCTTCACTTAACAGTATGGCCTCAAGGTGCATCCATTTAGGTAAAACTGTCTCAAGTCTACTCTTTATGGCTGAATAGTGCTCTATCATATATAAAAACCACATCTTTATCCATCTATCAGTTGATGGGCATTTGGGCTGTTTCCAACATTTAGCTATTACAAACTGTACCGGGCCATTTCTTGGCCTCATGGACTGCTAGGTGCTAGACTGATGGCAGCCACCAAGTACTCCTTCTAGGTGGAGTACGATGAGCATTCCAGCTCTGCCCTAGTTTGCTGCGCTGCATCACCCTAGCAAAGCTCCAGAAGTGCTGTGCCCATCTTATCCCTTGGCCTCAAGCAAAAGAAGGTCATCACTGAGGAGATCTCAGCCTGAGGTATAGTGGACAGATTACCAATACCTGTCTTGCACACCTTTAGAACCAAGGCCCAGGGCCACAGAGATAGCTCAGCAGCCTAAGCATCTGCCTGGCAAGTGCAAGGACCCAGGTTCAACCCCTGGTATTAGTACCACATGTCATACCAGCCCCAAGCCAAGCTGGCCACCCAAACCAGGCATGGTGGTGCACGCCTATAATCACAGTGCTGGTGAGGCTGAGACAGGAGGATCACTACAAGTCCAAACTGCATAGTGAGACGCTGTACCCAATACATAAAAAAAATTAAAATAAAAAGAACCAAGGTCCCAAGCTGAGATCACTTCCTTCCACCAGTCATTCCACACTTGTATCTCAGAACAGAAGACTCAGCGCCCATGGTTTGTTCTTTAGCAAAGGCCTATAGGGGTAGGCACACTGAGGGGCCAAAGCCACAACCTGCATGGGGTCTGGTCCCTCTGAAAAGGAGGAAGAGATCTGGCCAGCTCTATGTTCTTGCCCAAGTCACCACTGACTCCCAGCTAGCCCAGCACACTGCTGAGCCTTCTGGGCCTAAAAGATACCATTAAACCAGCATCAGGGAAAGAGAACGTATCACCTGTCCTCAACTGAGGAAAAATGGGCAAGTAGTAAGGAAGGAATTCCTGCCTTCTCGTTAGCTTCATCAAACTGGGTACTTCCTCTACTTATCACACAAATATTCCCCACTGTGTCCAGCATTGGTGCACAGCTAAAAACACCAGACGTGGCCCTTTTGCTGGTCCTCACGTAGCTTACAGGCTAGTGGGAGAAATACAGACAGATGACTAAAGAGTAATGTCAGTATAGTAAGTATCCTCACATTTACCTGGATGAAATTCAGCAGGCACACAGAATAGTACCTGTGATAGAAAGCGTCCAAGCTTGGAGGATGGCTCAGGCCAATCTCCATCTATTCCTAGGTAGCAGGAACTCCAGCGCTAGCCACCACCTCTTTCCAGCCCTGAGCTCCCTGCAGCCTGGAGAAACCCAGGAAAATAAGCCTTCCGTGCTCTCCTAAGCCTTCCCAAGCCCTCCTTAGAGCTGGAGGAACTGCATATACTACCATATTTAGAAATAGTTTAGTGTGGTGAGTTGAATATTCTACTTAATGGCTATTATATATTTCGTGCACGCCTTACCAATTTCCTTGTAGGTAAAATCCAGCAACATGTACAAAATACTAAAGTTGGACAGGATGTAATAGATTTTTTGGTGATGATTCCAAGGAACATGAGAGTCTTGCAAGGCCTCTAGGTCATTATTATAATCAGTGATCACTGGACTGTACAATACAGCAGGGCCAAGTATTAGAGCTGGTTCACTATATATGTTTTTGAGCATAAACCTAGTCAGTTCAATGTCCTGTTCTTTGTAAGCAATTTTTAAGGCAATTTTCTAAATGTCTGAGTACAAAATGATAAAGTAGGGCACTTCCCCATTTTGGGGAAAACTGATAATAATGTAATAGTCTTCACAGTCTAGCATGAGGAGATACTTCCATTTTACAAGGAGAGATGCCACCGTTAGAACTGCAGCCTTTGGCTGAGAGGAGTCCCCACCCCTTGCTGGATTTGCCCCTGGTGGAGCTCATTGCCAGGGTGGCTACCCCAGTTGTTCAGTGTCTCATAGTAGTTGACACTTGGTGATCTGTGGACAATTCCTCGAACTGCTAGCTCATGCCCTTGGTTCCGTGTTCCCTGGAGCACTTCCCTATGCTTCAGAGGCCTGGATAGAGAGTACTATTTCCCCACCTGATTCAGACTGCCCTGGATACAGCCAGTAAGGCCTGACTTGAAGCCAGTGTGAATACATCTAATCTGTACTTGGAAGGGAAACATGGTGTGTAGAAAACCAGAAGAGCTGAGGATCTTCAGGCAGAGAGACTTGGGTTCCATTCTCCAGTCCGCCATATCTTAGCTGTGTAAACAGCAGCAAGTTCCCTCAACTGAGTCTCAGTCTCTTCATCTGTTAAATGGTCTTTTCCCTACTTTTTTCTCTTTTGGTACCCAGAACTGGACTCAGGGCCTTGTACTCGCCAGGCGGGCACTGCACTGTTCATCTATAAAATGAGGATGATAAACACGGCCTACTTCGTGAAGGATTTGACAAGATTGCGTGAACTTAACTACAGAAGGACCTTTCATAATGCACAGCACATTTTGGTTTTTGTTCTTTCATCTTTCACTTTTTAAACTAATTAATTAATTAATTGTACCTAGAGTTGAATTCAGGGCCTTCACATTGAACTACATTCCCAGGCCTTTTTAAATTTTTTTTTTATCTTGGG